AGAGTGAAAATTACGTATTATACATTGTTGAGAGAGTGAAAACTACGTAATATACATTGTTGAGAGAGTGAAAATTACGTATTATACATTGTTGAGAGAGTGAAAACTACGTAATATACATTGTTGAGAGAGTGAAAATTACGTATTATACATCGTTGAGAGAGTGAAAATTGCGTATTATAGATCGCTGCGAGAGCAAAAATGACGTTTCGACGACACCATCCTTCCGTTGAACAGGAACTCTTGCTTTATACAAACTTCGTAAATTTCCTCTAACACATTTTATATTCGGTATTTCTAATGTTTGATATAAAGCGTTGATGAATTTCTTTTGGTTTCAATAGGATTTCAATATTAGCGGATATTTCTTCAAAATATAATTTACTCTAAAAGATAAAATGCTTTACTCTGACACACCGTAAAAAATACTAAAAAATATGCTTCGACTCATAAATTAATGTCGTTCTATTTTTTTCACAGATGAATTCTGATGAGAAAAATCTTGCAGTATTTTATATATTATGCAAGTATGTTGAAGACAAATATTATCTGACATATGATTATGTAGCGTCATTAATTACATCGAATTAATTCCTAGATCTGCTGGTAGGAAAGTTAATTTACTGTGTCGGGCCAGGCAATTTCTCTTGTCAGAATTCATCTTGAACATTTATAAATCTATGTATTGAATACTGCTGTCTTATCTGGTCTCGTGTTCCTGCCGTATATCTTGAGATTCTTGACAAAACCCAAAGAAGGTTCTGTAATGTAATCGATCCTGATCTGGCATCTCAACTAGTCACTTTCCCACCGCCGTAGCGTAGCTTCCCTGTGTGCTTTCGATAATGTTTCCTTTGCAATTTGGGGGGGTTTCTTTTTTAAATGTTGTTATTTTTATCCCCTCGCCAGCGATAATTTGTACATATGAGAACTAGTTAAAACTAAATAGAGACATGAGGTATTATGGTGACTGTAATAAGAATGGTAAGTAAGAATTTGTTGTTTTGGTGTAAAGAATACTATAGTATGTTTGGGTCAGTAGTCGGGTTTAAGTCCAAGACAGATTGAAGAGCAGTCTTCCCCTATTTCCCCTACCTACAGTTTTGTCCTTGTGCAACATTTTTGTATTATTCAAAATAAATATTGCTTTCTATCTTGGTGCCACGACCGCACGAATTTAATCGTTCTAGTAGATTGGCAACTAGACCTTATTGTTTTACTGTTGGAATAGCTAGATGTAACCCTATGTTCTGTTCTAATAGATTTTTAACTTAGACATTTTTAAATATACCACTAGTCCGTGCGTCGAATATTACTGTCATATCTGCTCTGGTGACCCTGGCTGTATATCTCGAGATTCTCGACAAAATCCAAAGCCTCGTTATTTACCCAAGGTTTCCCTACAAGACGAGATGTGGCACAAGTCCGCGTTTTAACGTGGGTCAATTCCGAGCGCGTATGTGATTTTCTAATGAGAAAGTGTTGGAGAAGCCGAACAATTTCTGCTACATTTTCTGCTTCTATAAATATTTCCATGGCAATTGTCCTAATGAGCTAGCTTCCTGGTACCTTGAGCGCACGATTTTAATCGGTTTACTAGATTGGCAATTAGGTCTCATTGTTTTACTGTTGGAATAACTAGATGTAACCCTATGTTCTATTCTAATAGATTTTTAACTTAGACATTTATAAATATAGCATTAGTCCGTGTGTTGAATATTACTGTCATATCTGCTCTGGTGACTCGGCTGTGTATCTAGAGATTCTCGACAAAATCCAAAGATTCGGTATTTACCCAAAGCCTCCCTACAAGGTGTGATGTTTCAAAAGACCGGGGTTTAACGTGGGTCAATTCCGATCGCGTACGTCGCATACACGGGTCCGGGTGGCTGCCTACCCCGTCGGATGAGACTCTGCCTGTAGGCATAGCCTTGTCTGAGGCAGAGAATTCGACCAGCAAAGTTTGGGCAGACTTCTTTTAATGATATCTCGACTTCAGTCATTTTCCAACCGTCGTGACGTGCCTTCCCTCTGCCTTTTCTAGAAGTATTTTAATGGCAATTGTTCTAATGAGCTCAACCTCTTGGTACCTCGGTTGCTCGAATTTCAACGTACTACTAGATTGGCAATTAGGTCTCATCATTTTATTGCTTAAATAGTTGTAAGTTCTTTTGTAGTAGTTTCTTTTCTCACACGTTTCGCCCGTGGAACTTCCGGTTTCTTGCTTCCTGCCACCGACTATTTTCAAAAATATTCAACAGCTTTTTTGTCCACTATTTACATTATTCGGACTATTGTCCTCATATTTGTCCACAAAGATGCAGACAATAGTCCGAATAATGTAAATAGTATACATAATACCTCATTTCAGAAATATGGACAGCTTTTTTGTCTAACGAAACTTAAACCCCTGTTCCATTATATGTAAATTATATTATTATGTTTATTAAATATTTTTTACTAAAAGTTACCTAATACAAGACACAAGTGCCACTCAAGGTAGAAGTTTACTGAATAAGGTTTTTGCATGGGCATAAGAGGAGCAATTGCATGCAGATTACGCGCAGGATATGTGGTTTATTAATAAAGCTTATCGTTTTTGCTGTCTCTCCTGACCTCTGTCCTGCCAACCATTTGCAAAAGCTCTTCTTCTTCTTCTTCTTCTTCTTCTTCTTTCATGTGCCGTATCCCTTTAGGGCGTGGTTCGATCATGCCTCTCCACAACTTCCTGTCATTTCTACTCTTAATCTAGTGTATCTTTTTGTTATTTCCGTTTCCTGTTCTGGCAACCATTTACACGAGCCTTTTCTTCTTCTTCTTTCATGTGCCGTATCCCTTCCGGGCGTGGTTCGATCATGCCTCTCCACAACTTCCTGTCATTTCTACTCTTAATCTAGTGTATCTTTTTGTTATTTCCGTTTCCTGTTCTGGCAACCATTTACACGAGCCTTTTCTTCTTCTTCTTCTTCTTCTTCTTCTTCTTCTTCTTCTTCTTCTTCTTCTTCTATCATTTCCCCTTACCACAATTCTTCTACTTCGTCTTCTTCTTCTTCTATATGTCGTGTATGCCCAGAACGAGGATCATAGCTCTCTACAACGGTTCATTCGTTCGTTATTGTTCTTCTTGCCTGTGCCGTATCCCTTCAGGACGAGGATCATAGCTCTCCACAACTTCCTGCCGTTTGTAGCTGCTGGTGGGTGTCACGACCGTGATATTAGACATGTCTTTTTTTTTAATCAAGTTCATCCCAAGCAAGACAATAAAGCCACTGGGACACAAGCCGTTAGTGGGTGTGGAAGAATTAGAAAACAGAAGCAGTAGTAAGGAGCGAGTACAAAAGAAAAGAGTAACCAGGAGGACATTAGATAGCGACTGATATTGATGAAGTTGTCCCGAAAGCGCGTAGCCGGAAGGGAGTTCCACAATCAAGAAGTGCGAAAATAACTGTTAGCATAGAACTTACGGTTGTTGCATCTAGCCAATTCATCTGTATATCAATGAGACATCGTTGTCAGTCTAGTCTTTTAATATTGGATGCTCCGTGTTCCTTCAGGACGTACGCGATCATGGCTCACCACTTTTCCCTATCCCTTGTAGCTTTCAATAAGTTCCTTCCCTCTGCTTCCTCCCCCAGACCACGTTCCGTCATTCACTTGCTTAAGCCTGCCAGGAATGTCACGCGTTGCTTTCCCTTGTCTCTCTTTCCCTCTATTCGCCTTGTGAGTATCATATTCTACAAGCCCTCCTTTCTCATTACGTGTCCCAGAAATTTCACCTGCCTCTTCCTGATATTAAGTATAAGCTTCCTCCTTGTTTGCATCCTCTCCAAAACCTCATCGTTGCTCACACACTCAGTCCATGTTATCCTTAGCATCCTTCTGTAGAACCACATCTCCGTCGCCTCGCGTCTCTTCTTCATCTTTGAGGAAATCGTCCAACATTCACTGCCGTAAAGAAGGGCAGATGTCACGTATCAGCTCAGTATTCTTTTCTTTGTTACCAAAGAAATCCTTCTGTCTCGCAATACTCTGCCCAGCTTTTGGAATGCGTCCTTGGCCATCCCAATATGTTCGGTCCACGATATCCTTAGCATCTCTCTGTAGAACCATATCTACGTCGCCTCGAGTCTCTTCTTCATCTTTGAGGAAATCGTCCAACATTCACTGCCGTAAAAGAGGACAGATATCACATAGCAGCTCAGTGCTTGTTTCTTTGTTAACAAAGAAATCCTCCTGTCTCGTAATTCTCTGCCTCGCTTTTGGAATGCGTCTTTGGCTATACAAATACGTCTTCGGATCTCAGCGTCGCACTTACCGTCGTCTGTCAGATGTGCTTATATCCATAAAGTGTAGATACCATAGCCAAGAGTCCATCTGAACAATTACCATAAATGTATTTATAGAAATGTTTTGTGGTGTCAACAAACACTCGTTTGACACTTTTGTAATGTCAACGAATACTCATTGTCATTTTCATAATACTCATTGCAGTAGAGACTTTGTAATCGCAGGTACAACTATAGTAACAGCGTTGAACTATACTGGTATCAGACGACTTCGTATAACACTCTCACTAATAGTACTTGCTCGGTAATACTCGCTCGAATAGTAACCACCGTATTGATCCGAATAGAAAATACTATAGAGAAGAGAATTGAGTATTGAGGTCCGTATAGTGATACAGGAGAAATAGCGATTAATTAGACGTCACTTACCTCCTACTTACTCTCCTGGGTATGTCGATAAGCTACATTCGCGTCCTGGGTAAGACGATAAACTTTGTCCAACATCAAGGCCTCTGATCAGGAGGTTTCGAGGAACGTGGAATCACCTCTTAATTGCTGGTGTTTCCAGGTCCACCCTGACCCGGGGTGATAAGCACCTGTTAGGGTCCCAGCTATGGATAAATAGTTAACCTCCGAATTGGGGTCAAAACACTATGAAAGTGTGAAAATAGATTTTAATACCAGAAATGCTTTGAAAAACATTATAACCAGCAATACGTTTTTGAAGAAAAAAATATTATCAGCTATACATTTTTGAGACAAAAAATAAAAGAAAAATTACCAGCAATAATTGTTTGAAGAAAAATATTTTTAAGATTAGATTTTTGAAGTAAAATATTACAAGAACTAAATTTTTGAAGGAAAAATATTATCAGCAATACATTTTTGAAAAAAATATTAACAGTAATAAAAATGTTGTCGGCATTAAATAACCCATTGGGGTTGATATGCCGTAAAACAAACCAAACCAAACCAAACCGATGAAAATATTTAGATACCAGCATTAAAAACCCATAGAGATTGATAGACATTTTCCAAGCGAAGCTCAGATGTGGCCACCCATAGAGGTTGATATGCCGCTAAACAAAGACAACCAACCAACCTCTGACTTATGCGTTTCCTCTATGGTCACGTGGTCTACTTAATTCGATAATGGGATCGCCTATGTTTTCTAACTGGCGATCTATGTTCAAACTCAAGTGTCGGCAGCGACACTTTATTCCTATATAAGAAAAGTTAAAGGGAGGTAACTTTATTGTGGTAGGAAAGTGGCTGTTTTATGGTTCAATTTGGTCGATTGACTTTACGACATGTCAACCCTTATTTAATATCAGATCTTATGTGACGACACCAAGTGAAAATCAAACTCATGACTCAGAAAGTAATTTGCCATTACCCAAGACCGAGATCTTGTGATTTTCTCAGTAAGTTATTTTTTTGTTTTCTTGATGGAATTTTTTTCCTTCATTCCCAGCAAGGACAGTTCTTCAGTGAGGGTGGTCTTCATCTTCCGTGGCACTGATTTCGCTGCAGATTTGTCACAAATGGTGGAAGATACGATCAGACAACACGCCCCCAAGACAAACGTTACCAAAGTGGACGACCTCAGGCAAATAGGACAAACCATTATATGGCTCAACAGTTCCTTGGTCAGTCTTCATGCAGCCAATGTTTCGGACTGGACAACACCGATGCCGACCACAACAACAGAGATGACCACACCAGACTGGTCACTACTTGGAGGTAAGTTAAGAAATTAAAGAATTATATTTGTTACTAGCAGCATGACCCGGTGTTGCCCGTGCTTGATTCAAAAATCTTAATATTCTTAAAATATTTTTGCCCATCCTTGCCTTTAAAGGAGTGCTCTTTGCCGTGCTGATGTTGCTACATGCCTTACTTCTTGCCAATCTCACACAGCAATTTTTTTCTAAGCTCTATACTAAACATTAAATCTGTTACGAAAAAAGAACTAAACAAAATGAACACAAAACGATCAGCTTTAAAAAAGGACTCGTAACTGGAAAAATCAAATGAAAAAAGAATGTTAACAACAAATACTTTTTCACACCCACACAGTTCTGCGGAATCAAAATCAACGTTGAGTTTAAGCAAGCGAATGAGCCAATTGCCATGCAGATTTAAATTTTTAATACTTGTGACGAATGCAGCTATCGATTTTTTTTTTGCATGCTAGCATGCTAGTTAACATTCGTGTCAGTCAGCTGTTGGCTCTCACGCTGGCCAATAGAATCTTCCTGCCTATTCGTGGCAGCCAGCTATTGGCTCGCTCTCACTCTGCTCAGTACAAAATGGCTGCAAACTACATGAAAACTGCCGTAGAAGCATGAAAAGATCTATTATTTCCACTATCGATGAGAGTTGGGAAATGAAAAGTCAGTCTTGGCCTTCCCACTAACTTGGAGCATGTGCATGTAAATTTTGGTGCAAATCCGTCGAAAATTGCGGCCGTGCATTTGTTACACACACACACACACACACACATACGTCCTGCCTTTTATAGATAGAGATATATCTTTCAAAACCGTACTTTTCCTAATCATTTGACACCGAACAATGCAATAAATGGTTACCGATTGTGAAAGAACAATAAAAGAAGAGGAATGAAGAAGAGTTGATAGCGATTGGCATTGCATTTAAATTTTTGAAGATCAACATTGGTTGCAAAGCATGGAGTCCGAAGCGAGTTCCACAACTGAGAAGTACGATGGAAGAAACTGTCAGCATAGAACTTACGGTTACATCTAGCCATTTCAAGTGTAAAATAATGAGACCTTGCCGCCAATCTAGTACTGCACTTAAATTCATAAAGTCTAGGTACCATAACAAAGAGTTCATCCGAACAATTACTCTGAAAATATTTATAGAAAATGGTCCAGAGAAACTCCGTTATAGCGGTGGGAATGTAACTGAAGTCGAGATGCCAGGTCAGGACCAATAATATTGCTGATTCTTCTTTGGATTTTACCAGGAATCTCTAAATATACAGCAGGAGCACCGGACCATATTCTGAGAAAACGTTCCATTATAGTTCCTAGAATTTATGAATTTAAGTGCAGTATTATATTAGCAACCAATTTCTCATCACTTTACAGTTGAAATGGTTAGACTGAACCGTAAGTTCTATGCTAGGAATTTAACTTACGGTTCAGTCTAACCATTTCAACTGTAAAGTGATGAGAAATTGGTTGCTAATATAATACTGCACTTAAATTCATAAATTCTAGGAACTATAATGGAACGTTCATCCGAACAATGACCACGAAAAGATTTAAATAAAAGACACAGGGAAGCGACATTAGGGTGGTGGAAAAGTGACTGAAGCCGAGATGCTAGGTCAGGACCAATAATATTGCTGATTCTTCTTTGGATTTTATCAAGAATCTCTAAATATATAGCAGGAGCACCGAACCATATTTGGCACCAATATTCTAAGCAGGGAAGAATAGTAGACTTATTTAAAAAAAGAGAAAACATTATGAAGAAGCGGGAACAAAAGAAGAGTAATCAGGAAGACAGTAGATAGCGATTGACATTGCATTTAAATGTTTGAGGATTAAAGTTAACCGGAAAGAATGGAGCTGGATGAGAGTTCCACGAGCGAGAAATGAGAGAAAAGAACCTGTTAGCATAGAACATACGGTTCAATCTAGTCATTTCAACTGTAAAATGATGAGAAATTGGTTGCTAATACTGCTCTTAAATTCATAAATTCTAGGCACCATAATGGAACGTTCATCTGAACAATGACCATGAAAAGATTTATAGAAAAGACACAGGAAAACTACATTAGGACGGTGGGAAAGTGGCTGAAACCGAGATGCCAGGTCAGGACCAATAATATTGCGGTTTCTTTTTTGTTCTTTATCGCTAATATAGACATTTATAATCTCCGATATGGCAGTGAATGCTCGTCATTCTCCTCACATATAAAGAAGAGACTTAAAGCAACAGAGACGTGCTTTTGCCAATGGATTCTAAGAGCTCCATGGACAGAACTTTTATGAAACGATAAAGATTTAAGGGAAGTTAAAATCACAATGAAATTTATATTTACGCTCAGAAAGAGTCAATTTAAATTTTTAGGAAACACAATTTTCGGTGTCATATCAGTCTTACAATTTTTACTACGTTTTTAACAGAAAGTAAAGAATCTGCAGTATTATCAGTCCCAACCTGGCATCTCGGTTTCAGTCTCTTTCCTTAGCACCGTAACGCGGCTTCTGTGTGCCTACTCTACAAATATTTTCTTGACAGTTTCTTTCATGAGCTTTTCTCTTTGGTACCTCGACTACATAAATTTAAGTGTTGTACTAGATTGGCAGTTAGGTCTCATTGTTTTACCGTTGCTTTAGCCAGATCTAGCCTTAATCTATATTCTAATAGTTTCTTCTCTCGCACTTCTCGCCTATAGAACACTCTTCCAGTTTCTTGCTTTCTTCTCAGCTACAAGTCCTACGGTCGTATCTCGTTGAAACGCCGGTTCTTGGACGCTCACCGAAGTTCAGCAACGTCGAGCCTTGATATTGCATCGCATTTTTCCTAGTTTCTGATAAAAAAAAATTTTTTCCAGTTTTTTCTGATCATGGAAGATATCGTTCCCAATTCTAATATGCCTTCGGATTTCGATATCACATTTTCTCCCATCTTTTATAGCACTTCCCAAATAATTCATTTATATTCTTGCATTATTTTGACGTCTCCATTCTGTTTTTTTTTTAACAATTAATAGTTAGTCCTTTCTTCTCGCTATCCTTTACTACTTTAACTCATAGTCCCTTCAGTTTTCTTTATGTGTCTCCCTTCAATACAGTGTCATCTGAGTCTGTTTGTTTGTTCAGTGACATATCAACCCATTATGAGTCATTTAATGCCGATTTTTTTTTCAAAAATGTATTCTTGGTAATTTTTTAACTATGATCTGTTTTTTTATTTTTTTTTAAATAAACAGTATTAATTACATTTACTAGCCTGAATGTTCGAGAAATTTCGTAATACATCAGATCAAATGATCATTCCCATTGAGGTTACAGGTTGGATTGCTTGAACATATTTACTGCGAAATTTCTCGAACATTCAGGCCGGTAGACGCAAACATTCAGAACATTTACTTAAACAGAGCGTTTACTTAAATACATTTTATCTATTTTAAGCGTTAAAATTTATTTAAGTAAATGCTCTGTTTTTAGATAAACAGAATATATATTAAATAATTTTCGAACTTTCATCATATATATATATATATATATATATGTGTGTGTGTGTGTGTGTGTGTGTGTGTGTGTGTAAAATGATGAAAGAGGATGCTTTAGAAATCCATGGTAATATTTTATTTCGCGAGATCAAATCGATCTCGTCTCATGAGGTTAAACAAAATTGTTTGGTTTGATGAGACAAGATCGATTAGATCTCGCGAAATAAAATATTACCATGGATTTCTAAAATAGCTTCTTTCATCGTTATTATTTACTCTGTTCTTACATTGGGCTCTTTTTTTTGCTTTATATCCTCTTTGTAATTATCTATAAAATTTTATCAAACAATATTATATATATATATATATATATATATATATATATATGTATGTATGTATACATATGTGTGTGCGTGTCTGTGTGATATATAATTCTTATTTAAAAAATTATTTAGTTTTTTTTTTTTCTGAACCCTCATTTGTCGTCCATGACGAAAGTGTATATATACAATGAAAAAATTATTACGTTCTTTTTTTTTTTCACAGATGGTTTGGCTACAAATTTCACATTCAATCTTTGGAACTTTACCTTCAATCCTGAACTCTTCGACCGAAACAGTCCGGCCTTCATCGGGAAAACGTTTGACTTTTGTGAGAACGTAAGTCGACGACATTTTAGTTGTAATCATTCTCTAAGATTTAATGTATAATGGTTTTGACAAGCTGAATTCTGTCGTTCCACCAATTCTAACCTTAATTGCTAAGATCCGATATGCCACGAACACTAGGACCAATCATCACCATTCCTTTTATATTCCATTCCCAAGAAGAAAATTCTACTGGGACACTTTCTTTCCAATAACTACTACATTGAACAGACTCCCGAGAGGATACTTTCCCGGTCACGACAATTTTAACCTCTTAAAGTCTAATTAAAATGTTTATTTCCTATATATATCCTCCTAAAATGCAGACCTTGCCTCCTCTTTTTATGCTCAGTCGACAACCTCATTCAGTAACACTCTACCTCAAATGGCTCTTGGGCTTTGTATTAGGTAAAAACAAAAATTAATTACGATTAGGATCTATCGGGATAGTGGCTCAAAATGAGAAAGCAGAGAACCGAGTTCGAATTTCAAGCGAGTTCGTTGCATTCAGTTATACCCAAGTCCCCTTGGAAACGATATGAATGCATTTCTTATACCCCCCCCAAGCTATGGGTTGAAAAAATAAAATTTCACAAAGGTGTAGATGGTAAGAACGGGGTTAAGATGCATAAAACGTCCTTTTAACTAATGGTTTCTTTGCCTGGTCGTCAGAATTAGTTTCGTTTGTCTTGTTTTACGGCATATGGGATATTTAATGCCGACAAGATTTTTTATTGCTGGAACCTATTTTACACTTTCATAGTGTTTTGACCCCAGTTTGGTGGGGGAGTCAGCTATTTGCTCCTACCTGGGACCTAACAGGTGCTATCACTTCGAATCACGGCGGACCTTGGAACGCCAGCAATTAAGAGGTAGTTCTACACTCCTCAAAACCTCCTGATCAGAGGCTTAGCTGTTGGATGTAGTTTATCGTCTTACACAGGACGCGTATGTAGTTTATCGTCTTAACCAGGACGTGCATATAGTCTATCGTCATACCCAGAACGCTGATGTAGTTTATCGTCTTAACCAGGAAATGGAGGTAGTTTATTGTCTTACCCAGGACGCGGGCGTAGTTTATCGTTTTACCCAGGACGCGGACGTAGTTTATCGTCTTAACCAGGACGCGGATGTAGTTAATCGTCTTAACTAGGACACGGATTCATTGTAAATGCTCTGTTTTATAATAATTTACTTTTTTATATGAATGATTCCTTGTGATATATATATATATATATATATATATATATATATATATATTTTGTGTGTGTGTGTGTGTGTGTGTTTGTGTGTGAAAAACAGGTTAAAATCGTTTTGTATCAGCCCCACTATGTCTTCCCAATGGTGAGAGGAAAAACATCATTCAAGCCTTCAGTAATGGTACCAGCATTCATACTCTGGCTTACATCTTCAAAATCCATTCAAAAACCATCAAAAGAACGATGAATACGTTTAAAAAAGATAACCAGGAGGTCACAACAGCAAGAGGGATCATCATTTCAACTTAGAGCTAAAGAGATCAGTTAGAAAAGATCCAATTCAATCCATAAGGCATTTGGCACGTGAGAGAGGAGTTTCAGCAATGACAGTCCAAAGAGCAGTGAAAAAAGACTTGAAAATAGAATCGTATGTGAAATCTGTGAAGCAACTTGTTATTCCAGGACAGAAAGCAGGTTAGAAAGGGCGAAGATCATCTTGAATATATTGAAAATCCTGGAATACACACACACACACACACACACACACACACACACACACATATACATATATATATATATATATATATATAAAGAACTTTATTTCAATTCTTCATGAGCTTTCGATCCTTAGTTATAATTGATTAATGATGAACATGTCATTTTTGTTTATAATCAATTTCATTACGATTCTTCTGTTAAGCTTGGAGAGTAATTACATATTCTTATTGGGCAAAGTAGAGCCCAATAGTGTTATAAAAGCCTCAGAGAATTCCAGTAAGATATCTTTAATCATTTCTAAGACACAACGGTTCAGAGCTTAATCTAACAACTGGGCAATTTTGCTGTTACACGATCTGGGCAGTTTTGCTGTCACAAAAGGTACAAGTGTGTAAGATAGATTTTGGCGAGACAGATTATCTACTACAACACGAAGAACCATCTTTCCTAACAGCAGACGTAGCAACTGATTCAATATAATCTATCCCCATTATGCCATCGGAAACATTAGCCCGAGAAGGCGCAGTAAGTCAGTTTCCTGGAGGTTAGAATCAGCCATGCTAACAGATGATTAAAAGAGAGTAGATTCGTGTCTGGGGCGTTAAAATTGACAAACCATTCCTTGCCGTATTTAACAAGAGAACGTTTTTGAGATCAGCTGCAAATTTGGTCGAATCAATGAAAATATTTGTAAAAAAAAAAACAAAAAACGTCACAGTGTTTCATTAAGAGACTGAAGTAGAGATGCCAGATCAGGATCGATAACATAGCAGATTCTTCTTTAGCAATATTCAATGCAGGGACAAATGATAGACTTATAAATTTGTAATATTGTCTCGTATGACTGAGTGAACCGATTTTTCCTAGCAGCAGACCAAGCAATTGATTCAATTTAATCTTTCCAGTTGTCATCGGAAAACGTAAGACGAAGAAGGCTCAAAGATAAGGGGACCAGGCTGCCAATAATATTATTAATGTTGTTCTGATTCTTATAATTGCCATTATATTTGTTTCTCTTTTATTCAGATAAAGGATATAATGAACAACGGTAACTTGGGGAGCAGACATGAGGGTTGTGATATATTGAACTTTGAGTGAGTTATCTCCCTTTTATATTTCTTCATCAGTTTATATACACACAAACGAAAGATTATACATATTATAGCCTTATTCATAAAACTTACATTCATTACATACCAATGACAATCCCTATCTTCTTCATTAAAACACTGCTACAAAATAATAATTCTACATATAATAGCCCTATTCTATCAGTAATGCTTGCATTCATTCCTGACCACTGACAATCCCTTTCTTCCTCATTTGCAATGCATTCCTATAGTAAAACACAGCTACAAAATAATAATTCTACATATAATAGCCCTATTCTATCAGTAATGCTTGCATTCATTCCTGACCACTGACAATCCCTTTCTTTCTCATTTGCGATGCATTCCTATAGTAAAACACTGCTATAAAATAATAATTATACATATAATAGCCCTATTCTATAAGTAATGCTTACATTCATTCTTGACCACTGACAATCCCTTTCTACTTCACTGGCAATGCAGTTAAACGCTGCTCCTAAAATAATAATTATATATGTTAATATTTATAATAATAATACACACACACACACACACACACATACATACATACATACATACATATATATATATATATCTATATAATTTAATCGAAAATTATAACATAAATATGTTATAAAGTCACTATAAAAATAGCCATTTTGTTTCTGGTGTCTTATCAAGTGATGGTCACTTGATAAGACATATGTTATCCTTTTCGAATAAATTATATTTGTTCTACTCTATATTGAGCACTCTTTTTAAGAATAGTATTTTTGGTTATTGAAATTTATTCCGTATACCCCATTCTATATATACTTGGGTATATATATATATATATATATATATATATATATATATATATATATATATATATATATTTTAATTTTCAACAATTTTTATTTTATTTTATTTTCTTTATACTTGTGTTGAGCACTTTTTAATACTAATGTTTCTGGCTTTTTATCAAGCCTGACAAATAACTTTTTTATATATTAGCTTTCAAAAATTCTCGAGAATAAACTCTCACATTTCAAAAGTATTTTATGCCTTACGATGTGTGAAAATATCTTCACTTCCGTTACACACACATACACAAACACTCACACACACACACACACACACACACACACATATATATATATATATATATATATATTTTTTGAAACATGGTTAGAACTGTGTAGCGAAAAAAATCATATTTTAAATCAATTAATTTATAATATTAATGCTCTGTAAATTTACATTGAGCACTATTTTGTAAAAATAAAAATATCTATAAGAACACCGGATTTTATATCTTACTGTTCTTTCTTTATATATATATATATATATATATATATATATATGATGAAACTATATATCAATTTTTATATATCAAAAATAATTGTAGGCAAATTTATCACAAATTGGGAAAAGTTTTCGTCTGAGGCTTCTTGTTCATTATGTTCAAATGAGTTCCTCAAGGTCGAAATGTCTCACACGGGAACCTTTTCTAAATGTGTCATAGATTTCCCCAAAACACACACACATAATTCACTACTCGATTACTTTCATTTTATTTACAAGACCACAAAAAGTCATTTCTTCATTACCAATCTGGAAAATTGCTGAAAATGTTTTCGTCAACAAACTTTAAAATTTTTTATTGCAGTCTGAGGGAAAACACGAAATAATTAAACTGGCAATTATTGAGCTTAAAATATTTAATGTGAAAATTTGAGTCGATCTCTAATTTAAATGATTTGTAATGTCTTCCCTAATTTGAATTACATGAAAAACCTTGATATATTTCCAGTAAGGACACCTCTTCAGTGAAGGTGGTCTTCATCTTCCGTGGCACTGACTTCGCTGCAGATTTGTCACAAATGGTGGAAGATACGATCAGACAATACGCTCCAAAGACTAACGCCACCAAAGGTGACGACCTCAGACAAATCGGAGAGACCATTATTTGGCTCAACAGTTCCTTGGTCAGTCTTCATGCAGCCAATGTTTCAGATTGGACAACACCGATGCCGACCACAACAACAGAGATGACCACACCTGACTGGTCACTGCTTGGAGGTACGCTAAAAAAATGATAAAATTACGATTTTTTTTTATAAAGAGTACTAATGATTTTGGATAGTTTATTAAATATATTTTCTATTATTTTATTGATCGATTCAGTTTTAAATTTTTGCGGATTATTTCTTGAGAATATAAGAATAGCTAATGATTGACATAATTGTTTTAATTAGTGAAAATATTTGATTTCGTATCAAATAACCAGAATATCACGAGACAAAGAAAATAAGAGAGAGAAAGAGAGAGAGAGAGAGAGAGAGAGAGAGAAATACACATCTTTAAATTAATGAAATTTTCTTTTTTTCTTTTCCCAGATGGATTGGCTACAAATTACACTTTCAATCTTTGGAACTTTACGTTTGATCCTCAACTCTTCGACCGAAACAGCCCAGCTTTCATCAGGAAAACTCTTGATTTCTGTGAGAACGTAAGTCGCCATTCGAATCGTTAGACTCAACACTTTCCTCTGTCAAAAGCAATTTTGATTTTGAAAACCTTTACTCATAGCCTTATATTAGTAAGACATAGAAAAACTTTCTCTTACCTTAGCTTCTAATTATTATTAATATTCTGTAATGTATTGGCTTACAATTAGTCTACTGCAATCTTTTTCAACCAATCCGAGGGCTCCAACTACAACAGGGACTGTTGATGTTCCCATGTACCACATTTTTATTATTATTATTTTCTATGATTTCTGGCGTTTACACATTTCTTTCCGGGTCCCGCCCAGGGACCTAAGGTCAGAGATGGTATCATGACACTTTCCACTGACAAAAAAACAAAAAATTAGATCGATAAAGCTCTTCGTAAAATATGGGCTGTACTTGTCAGAACAATTTTTTTGTATCTCCTTGAGGCATGGACTTCCAGGAATCCCTTCAATTAGTCTACTGGAATCTTTTTCAACCAATCCTAGGGCTCCAACTACAACAGGGATTGTTGATGTTCCCATATGCGACATTTTCGAGATTTCTATTTCAACGTCCTTGTATTTTGACAGCTTTTTGAATATCTTCAAAGATACATTGCAGTCAGCAGGGACTACCATATCAATAAGGTGGCACTGTTTTTCCTTGTGGTCTTTAATAACAATTATTATTATTATTATTATTATTATTATTATTATTATTATTCCTTTGATTTCTAGTTATACCATGTCTTTAGAAGTACTTTTTAAAGAAATGGCAAATGACATTTTCACTGTGCATTTTTATTAAAAGGTCACACATATTTTATCATAGATAAAACCCTTTCTTATGTTATCATGTACCCGTGAGAACATTTTTTTATATTTCTTTAAGGCATGCTCTTCCAGGGATCCCTTCAATAAGTCTACTGGAATCTTTTCCAATCAATCCGAGGGCTCCAACTACAACTGGAGATATTGATGTCCTCACCTATCACATATTTGAGACTTCGATTTCAAGGTCCTTGTATTTTGATTTTCAAAGATACATTAAAGTCTGCAGGGACTGTCATGTCAATAAGGAGGCACATTTTGTCTTTACTGTCTCTAATCCCGATGTCTGGGCGATTAGCTTTAATTGTTCTGTCTATGTGTATTGTAAATCCTCATGAGATTTTTACAGGTCCTATCACTATAACCGGGTTTGGGTGATGTTCTTACCAATTTCTTGCACTTGTGAAGGCATTTTTTGTATTTCTTTAAGGCTTGGACTACCAGGAATCCCTTTAATGAATCGATCAGAACCCTTTCTAATCAAACCGAGCGATCGAACTGTAACTGGAATTATTGATGTCCTCATATGCCACATTTTTTAGACGTCTCTTTCAAGATCCATGCATTTTGATAGGTTTAAGATTTTCAAAGTTCATCAGGGCAACCATGTCAATAAGAAAACATTCTGTTTTTGTGGTCTTTGATCACGATGTCTGGGTAATTACCTTTGATTGTTCTGTCTTTGTGTATTATAACGTCCCATAAAATTATTACAGTTCCTATCTCTGTAGCCGGGTCCGGGTGATGTTCATACCAGTTCCTTGAAGTTTCCTTACAGTAAAAGTCGCATATTTTCCAATGCAGATATTGACACAGTCTCTCATGCTGTGTTTTATATTCAGTGGGTGCCAACACTGTGCAACCTGATACAAGATGGTCAATTGTTTCTGGATATTTAATATGCAACCTGATACAAGATGGTCAATTGTTTCTGGATATTTAATATGCAACCTGATACAAGATGGTCAATTGTTTCTGGATATTTAATATGCAACCTGATACAAGATGGTCAATTGTTTCTGGATATTTAATATGCAACCTGATACAAGATTGTCAATTTTTTCTGAATATTTAATATGCAACCTGATACAAGATGGTCAATTGTTTCTGGATATTTAATATGCAACCTGATACAAGATGGTCAATTGTTTCTGAATATTTAATATGCAACCTGATACAAGATGGTCAATTGTTTCTGGATATTTAATATGCAACCTGATACAAGATTGTCAATTTTTTTTTGAATATTTAATATGCAACCTGATACAAGATGGTCAATTGTTTCTGGATATTTAATATGCAACCTGATACAAAGATGGTCAATTGTTTCTGAATATTTAATTTGCAACCTGATACAAGATGGTCAATTGTTTCTGGATATTTAATATGCAACCTGATACAAGATTGTCAATTGTTTGGTGGATATTTAATATGCAACCTGATTTCAAGATGGTCAATTTTTTTGAATATTTAATATGCAACCTGATACAAGATTGTCAATTTTGGTCTGAATATTTAATATGCAACCTGATAAAGATTTTCAATTTTTTCTGAATATTTAATATGCAACCTGATACAAGATGGTCAATTGTTTCTGGATATTTAATATGCAACCTGATACAAGATGGTCAATTGTTTCTGGATATTTAATATGCAACCTGATACAAGATGGTCAATTGTTTCTGGATATTTAATACATAATCTGCATCTCGGATTAACACAGTAATTCACTATGTATGCTTGGTAATTTCTAGAAGCATTGGTCCTGTGCAGCAAGAATAAAACCTTCAGTTGCAGCTTTTAATTCTTCACTACGTTACAACTGATGGGTATGGGGTTTGTCGAGATCAGCTTGTTTTGTCCTGGTAGAGTATTGACTATAAAGAGGCTTATCTTGCCATCGTTTTTGCATTTGATTTATTATTATAATTACTAGAGTACCTGTGCCGTCAAAATTGACGGCAAGAAAGAATGTATTATAAGTGACTAGCAGTAGAGCCCGGCGTTGCCCGGGGATGTAACAGTAAGAGATAGATCAAGTATCGACCATCATAAAGACTGAAAAATAAAATTGACAAAGATTATTGTTTAAGGTTGACGGACACGCATGTCTTAATTATTTTTTTTTTTTGTTTTTTTGTTTTTTTTTTACGAATTGGTCAAACCCAAACTCAAACAAAAACATTGTTTTCAATCGTTATGAGTCTATCGATTGAATAGAATTTTATTATAAACAATTGTCTTGTAAATGGAATTTTAAAGCATTCTGAATGTAAAAATAAAGAAAAAAAGTGTGCAAGACAATAAGAATCACTACCTGCCAAAAAAAAAAAAGTTTGTTGAAATCGGTTGAAAAATTAGGAAATCCGATCCCATATATAAAACACAACACACACACACACACACAAAACAACCTGGGTTTTTATAATAAGTATAACTCGATATGAGTTGTCCCCCTTTCATTCTGGTGACAGTGATGCCTCTTAATCGTGTCTTCAAATTGATTTTGTGCAAAAACAATTGTGTTTTTCCAATTTTTGACACTGTTAGAACCACCGCAAGGTAATTTTACGTAGTCCTGTGAAGTTTTGTTGAAATCGGTTGAAAAATGTAGGAAATCCGATCCAATATATAAACGTACAGACACACACACACACACACACAATCTGCGTTTTATAATATAAAGTAAGATATGTTTATATTGAACAAAACAATTTATTTTTTTTAGTTTTATTCCAATCCTAATAAATGTTACATATTTACAACCAAAGCATAATAATTTTTGTATAAACTTTGGAAGGTCTGTGTAATCCTTGACAGTTGGTAGATTGTTATAGAGTACTTTCACAGTGGAGGCTTGTATTTCTCTAAGTCGGTCCTAAAATAGGTTCGACGTACAAAACGTTAGGAACTTGATATAATAGGTAATGACGCAGAAATCTAGTTGTGGTCACTGATACTTTAGTATCCGACTAACGATCGTCCGGCATCGACTGACTGAGCAACTCGCTGAGCCCTGGCGACTGCTACTGCTCCTACTTATTATAGGTGGGAGAGTCTATTAACAATAGAATAGGTGTGTTCCAGTATAACATAGATTCAATCTGTAATTTCAGAGTCTGCTTATTTCTTGTGCCACTAAGAGCAACGTGTCACCAGATATCTTTTCTCAAGCGATTACCAAATTCCACAAGATTTGCTCCGAATTGTAACATAAAAACTGCATTAAAACTATGGAATTATTTAATTGTATAAGCTTTTAATCGCTATTATAAATAATTTAAATGAAGGATGTAGTGTGAATAAAAAAAACTCTTTCAACGATTAATGAATTATTACAATAATAATGAATTATTATAATAATTGTTTACCAATCCAATAGTTCGTTGTTAACGTTAATAATTTAACAGTGTACAATTTATAAACACCTTAGGAAAGATATCCATCATAAATATTACATATTTACAATCAAGATATCCTCATAAATATTACATATTTACAATCAAAGCACAATATCTTTTGTCTAAACTTTGAAAGTCTGTGTAATCCTTGATATTTGGTAGATTCAATCTGTAATTTCAGAGTCTGCTTAGTTCTCGTCTTACTACGAGCAACGTATTAAATTCCACAAGATATCTTCCGAATCGTAACATAAAAACTACATTAAATCTATCGAATTATTTAACTGTATAAGCTTTTAATTGTTATCATATATAATGTAAATGAAGAATGTAATGAGAATTTAAAAAAAAAC